GGGTTCGATTCCCGGTCAGGGCACATGCCCGGGTTGTGGGCTCCATCCCCAGTGGGGGGCGTGCAGGAGGCAGCCGATCCGTGATCCTCATCACTGATGTTTCTATCTCTCTCTGTCTTCCTTTCTCTCTGAAATCAATAACTATATACTAGTATATGTAAAGGGTGTCCCAAAATTCACGCAAGATTTGAATTTTGCATGAGCATTAACAACAATAACAACAACAAAAATAAAAGCCTAATTTTACTTGGTTGATTGAATCAGATTCTAATATCTGTTGCCCTTTGATGTCAATCCCTTCAATTGGATAAGCATCACCAAGTACCAATGATGGCCCAGGAGCAGGGACAAGGAAGACCAATGAAGACCACGGCTTTGCTGGCACAGAGGCCATTGACCCGATGTGCTATTCCATACATAACCCTAGACTGTATCCTTTATGAATCAATAAAAAATTTGCAATTTTTAATTATAAACCTGTGTTTTCTATCAAAATTACTTCTTGCGTGATATTTTGGGACACCCTTTATTTGTGTATATATATGTATATGTATACACACACACACACACACACACACACATATAAATACTAGAGGCCCAATGCACGAAATTCGTGCAAGAGCCTTGGCCCCGGCCTCCGCCCGGGCCTCTGCTGCCTCTATTGCGGCCCCAGCCCGCTGAGGCTCTGTCCGGAAGGAAGGACGTCCGGAAAGACGTCTGGTCTAATTAGCATATTACGCTTTTATTATTATAGATATTTTTAAAGTACATAGACCCATTGCAGATCATCTGGGCAATAAAGAAATGAGAAAAGCCCTAACTGGTGTGGCTCAGTGGATAGAGCGTCGGCCTGCGGACTGAAGGGTCCCAGGTTTGATTCCCGTCAAGGGCATGTACCTTGGTTGTGGGCACATCCCCAGTGGGGAGTGTGCAGGAGGCAGCTGATGGATGTTCCTCTCTCATCGATGTTTCTAGCTCTCTATCCCTCTCCCTTCCTCTCTGTAAAAAATCAATAAAATATATTTTTAAAAAAAAAGGAATGAGAAAAGAGCACCATATCTAATCCCATCTTGACCCAAAAGTGCTCCTCCTGAGCCTGTCAGCCTGTGGCCCTCCGTGCAGCTCCGTGGCTGTTGCCTGGTTCGGGTCATTGCTATACCTTGCTCTCTTTTTTCTTTTTTATACCCTGCTCTTTTGGCCGGGCCTGTCCCCTGTGTATTACTGGATGGCGGTAGCATTGTACTTCCGTCCGCAGAGACGGTGCCAGGGGTCCCCTCCCTGCTGGGCACTGACTTCCGCGCCCCCCTCCTCCTCTCCGCACCCCCCCACCGCCGTCCCCCCACAGGACACGAAACGAAGGCGCTGCTGAACAACAGCGGCCCCCGCTACAAGCGCAGCCTGCTGGAGAGGCAGATGAACTGCGACGTGCTCTGGTGTGTCCTCCTCCTCGTTTGTATGTGTCTGTTTTCCGCCGTCGGTAAGTCTCCTGGCGGGACGGCCTCCGGGCGGGCCTGGTGGGCTGCCCGCGACTCCTCCTTGGGCCCTAAAGCTAAGTGGCGTCCGCCGGGGCCTCGTGGAGATGCCCGGACGCGTGGGCGTGGCGCCCTGTGGTGTATTTCCCATTGGAAGTTTCCTGGATGGAGGGATGTTTTATTTTTATTATTATTATTATTTCGTTGTTGTTGTTGTTGTTGGTCCTCACTGGGGATGTTTTCCCATTGATTTTTAGAAAGAGGGAGAGAGGGGGGGGAGAGGCAGAGAGAAACATCGATGTGAGAGAAACACGGTTGGTTGGCTGCCTCCTGCACCAGCCCCCACCAGGGCCCAGGCTGGGGAGGAGCCTGCAACCGAGGTCTGTGCCCTTGACCGGAATCGAACCGGGGACCCCTTGGTCCGCAGGCTGATGCTCCGTCCACAGAGCCAACCCGGCTAGGGCTTTTATTATTATTTTTTAATATATTTGTATTGATTTCAGAGAGGAAGGGAGAGGGAGAGAGAGGGAGAGAGAGAAACATCAACGATGAGAGAGATTCATGGATCGGCTGCCTCCTGCACACCCTACACTGGGGATGGAGCCCACCAACCGGGCCTGTGCCCTGATGGGGAATCGAACCGCGACCCCCTGGTTCCTAGGTGGACGCTCAGCCCCTGAGCCTCGCCGGCCGGGCTGCGCTTTGCTTTCTTAGGCGGCCAGCAGGCTCCTTTGGCCAGCATGTCCCCGCGCTGAGTAACCGTCTCCTGGTTTGGCTTTCGTCCGCCCTGAGCCATCGGGTGAGTGACGTTTCTTCTCTCTGAACGCTGCCACAGGGCACGGCGTCTGGGTGCGGCGGTATCAGGAGAAGAAGGCGCTGTTTGACGTGCCCGAGGCGGACGGCGGCTCCTTGTCCCCGGTCACCGCGGCGGTCTACTCCTTCCTGACAATGATCATCGTCCTGCAGGTATCGGTGCCGAGGGCCACAGGGCTCTCGCTTTACTCTCCCGGCCAGAACGCGGGGAGTCCTCGGGCTCCGCCAGGACTCGCCTGTTCACCCCGCCTCGGGGCCGAGGACCACCCGCCCGTGTACCTCCCGAATGCGTTGCGTTTTATGTCGACACCGAGTTTATCCAGAGGGTGTTTTCTTGGGTGATTTTCAAGTTCAAATTCTCCTTTGCCATTCCCCCCCTCCTCTCTCTCTCTCTCTCTCTCTCTCTGATTTCAGAGAGGAAGGGAGAGGGAGAGAGAGAGAGAAACATCAATGATGAGAGAGAACCATGGATCGGCTGCCTCCTGCACGCCCCACACTGGGGATCGAGCCCACAACCCGGGCCTGTGCCCTGACCGGGAATCGAACCCTGACCTCCTGGTTCCTAGGTCGAGGCTCAACCACGGAGCCGCGCCGGCCCGGGGTTCATGGAGCTCGCTCTTACGTTGTCAAAGGGAACCTGGATATTGTCCTGGGAGCCTTCTTGTCTCTGCTGTTTCGTGCTTTGCCGACACTAAGTCGCTGGCTGGGGTGCGTCCGAGGGTCGGGCCGCCGGGAGCCTGGGGGAGGACAGCCCGGGGGCTGAGGGCCGCCGTCTTCGCTCGCGGGGACTCTGACTGAGCCGTGTCTTTTGTCTTTTCTCTTCTCTTCTCTCCTCTCCTAGCCTCTCTCAGGGCTTGCGTCTGTCCCAGGCCCGGGTACCACCCCGGAGGACGTCTGCTCTCCCGTGCGTGGCTCCTACAGGCCGTCCTCTTTAAACCCTTTGCCAATATCCTAAAACACTCTCCCCATAGTGACGCTAAACCCACCGCTGTACGCTCCGGAAGGTACAGTACAGCTCCTGCTTCCGTGTGGTGTGGTCGTTTTATTGTATTTCATTGTATTTTTTTCATCCTCACCCAAGGATGTTTTTCCATTGATTTTTTTCAGGGAGAATGGAAGAGCGAGGGAAAGACAGAGAGAAACATCGATGTGAGAGAAACATGGATGGGTTGCCTCCTGCACACGCCCCGACCAGGGCCCGGGCTGGGAGGAACCTGCCACCGAGGTACCTGCCCTTGATTGGAATCGAACCCGGGACCCTTAGGTCCGCCGGCCGAGGCTCTATCCACTGAGCCAAACCGGCTGGCGTGTGTTGTCGTCATTTCATTGACCTTTTTTTTTTGAGAGAGAGAGGAAGGGAGAGGGATAGTAACATCAATCATGAGAGAGAATCGTGGATCCGCTGCCTCCTGCACGCCCCACACTGGGGATCCAGCCTGCAACCCAGGCATGTGCCCCGACCGGGAATCGAACCCGTGACCTCCTGGTTCGTGAGTCGATGCTCAATCCCTGAGCCACACAGTTAAATAGCTTAGACCAGTGGTTCCCAGTGTGGGCCACACGCCCCAGAGGGGGGCAGTTTGAGAATGCGTTGTTCACAGTGAATGTTTTGCATTTCTTACAGTTCTAGGGGCCTCGTGTACAGTATACAAATACGTATTGTGACATATCTATGCATTTCAGTTCTCTATTATATCTTTTAAAACTTCATTTGCTATTTTTTCATGTCCCTTCATATTATTATTATTATTATTATTATTATTAACAATTCCTTAGTGATTTCTTTCTCGGTTCGTCCGCTGTCCTTTCGTCCTTTTGTTTTTCTCTCTTGTGGACGCCATGTTCTATGGAAGCTTGTTTAGGCCGAGTTCATGGCCTTTTCGGCTTCTTCCACGTAAAGGGGAGTTCACTCTGTGAATAAGAAGAATTCTATGTTGGGGGGCCAAGGGGGGGCAGGGGCGATCAGGATGTTAGAGATGCTCAGGGGGGCGTGGCCGGAACAAGGCGGGAGCCACCGGCCTAGACCAGTGGTTGGCAAACCGCGGCTCCCGAGCAACATGCGGCTCTTTGGCCCCTTGAGTGTGGCTCTTCCACAAAATACCACGTGCGGCACGCATGTACAGTGCAATTGAAACTTTTTTTTAAATATATTTTATTGATTTTTTACAGAGAGGAAGGGAGAGAGATAGAGTTAGAAACGAAACATCGATGAGAGAGAAACATCGATCAGCTGCCTCCTGCACATCTCCCACTGGGGATGTGCCCGCAACCCAGGTACATGCCCTTGACCGGAATCGAACCCGGGACCTTTCAGTCCACAGGCCGACGCTCTATCCCCTGAGCCAAACCGGTTTCGGCGCAATTGAAACTTTAAGTAAAGTTTATTAAGTTAATTTTAGGGAACGCTGTGGAGTGAAAGAAGATGTAGGGTCGAGGATTGAGAAAGGTATGTGGAGACGGTTTGGACATAGAGAGAGGATGAACGAAAGGAGATAGAGAAACAAGTGTACAAGACGCGTGTGGATGGGAGAGTTGGAAGGGGTCGACCTCAGCGAACGTACCTCCATCAGATTGAGGACGTTTTTAGCAAAGGCCAGCTTAGGAGGACCCTCATTAAGTCAACAACAATGTACCTACCTATATAGTTTAAGGTTAAAAAATTTGGCTCTCAAAAGAAATTTCAGTCGGTGCGCTGTTGATATTTGGCTCTGCTGACTCATGAGTTTGCCGACCACCGGGCTAGACTGACCCCGGCCGCCCTGGTCCTCGGGGTCCCTCACCTCTGGGCGCCCCGCGTCTCCCAGGTGCTGATCCCGGTGTCGCTGTACGTGTCCATCGAGATCGTCAAGGTGTGCCAGGTGTACTTCATCAACCAGGACGTGGACCTGTACGACGAGGAGACCGACTCGCAGCTGCAGTGCCGGGCGCTGAACATCACCGAGGACCTGGGCCAGATCCGGTACATCTTCTCCGACAAGACCGGCACCCTGACCGAGAACAAGATGGTGTTCCGGCGCTGCACGGTGTCGGGGATGGAGTACTCCCACGACGCCAACGGTGAGCCCCGGGTGGGGGCGGGCCCCCGG